TTAGGATTCAGAAACTGATTTACAAAGCAATCAAAAAGCAGGGAGATAGGAGAATTCTAGGATTCAGGCTAGGAGCAATCTTTAGCCTAGGATTCACAGGCTGATGAGAAGAGTAATCAAAATCAAGGACTAAGAAACTAAGAAACTAGGGAGGAAACTTAACGTTTCTATACTTAACATTTCTATACTTAACATTTCTATAGGAAAGGAAACTTAAAAGTTTTTGGTGGGGGTACTCTCTTGGCCGCTAACAGTAGAACCTTTGTATGTGTACCTTTCTCCAGATATGGGCCCAGCCTGGCTCACCTGTCTTTGGTAGAATGTGAGTAAAGGTGAAAGTGGAGATCTTTCTTTAAACTTGTTTTCATTCAATTGTTACCTCAACATGTGTATTTCCTGCCATATTTTCAAGAGAATTAGACAAAAAAATGGTACAGTTCAGATATGTAAATATTTTGTTTAATGACTTGCCACTCAGGAAGTCTGTTAAGTGTTTTAACTCCTAACTGTGCTTCTTGATAGCCCCTGTGCCCCGTATTGCAATAAAATACATTTCTGAGTTTATGAAATTGTGAGTCTTGCCAAATGGGCTCCATGTGCATTTTGTTATTAAATGGGCTTTGATGCCATAGGCTTTGTTACATTTTGGAACAAATTTATTTTGCTAATGAGTTATGTTATTCTGACGTTGTTTTGATAGTGGTTTTCATATTCTTTTTTAGGCATGAACTCTTAGTTAAATGAAAGGTTTGTCTGTCCCTTTCTTAAAGGGTATCTTTTGCAGAATCTTATCAGAATGTATGGGCTGCAGTCCTGGGAGTTGTGGCTAGGGCTGGAGGGCCTGCTGCCCTTTTGCCTAAGCAGTTCCCTGTCCCCGGAAGCAGCAGGGTCCCACAGGCACTCCACCTTTTGCAGAGCAGTCTATAAACCTCTGATTTAGATTGTGTGAAAACACAAAACGCTCCTGTATCTCTTTTTCTTGCAGGTTGGCAAGAATGTTGATAAGTGGCTGTGGATGCTTGGTGCTCAGCGCGTGACGACTCGAGGGGAAGGTGATTGTGACGTGGTTAGAAGCAAACATGGCAGCATTGAGGCCGACTTTAGAGCTTGGAAGGCCAAGTTCATCTTCCAGCTCCAGGTTCTTCTTAAAGGAGAAAAGAAACCCTGTAATTGCAACTGCAAGAAAGGCAAATGTGAGTCTCGTCAGCCTGGATCAGAGGAAGTGGAGCCAGGGTCTCACGCTCAGGATGGACTGCAGCAGGGAGACACTGAGGTGTGTAGCCTGTGTGTCCATGTCCCTGCTTTCCTCCCATGTTTGGACATGCTGAACCTTACCTCTGTCCTGAGAAACTATGTCATTGGCTGTGCATGGAAGGAAGATTTGGAAGCTCCTTTGGGGCTGTTGTAGTGAGAGTGCAGTCTTAGGAGTTAAGCCATGCTGTACTGGATGCTTTGCTGTATCTCTCCGTTAATCATTGCATTGCTAGAATCAAGTAGATTTCTTCCACAATTTGCATGTAGGAACCGGGCCCAGAGTAGTTACATATGTCCTGGGCTGAGCTCAGCTCTTTTTATCCCCAAACCACATATTCCTCTTTATCTCTCTAAAATGGCTCTATTAACCACTCAAACTTAAAGGCTGCAAGTCATCCTAGATTCATGTTTCATCCGTCACATTCTAAACATTTCTCTTTCTTCAGAAACCCTAGTTCCTTGAAGCTCATGTCATCAGGCTTTATCAACAGCTGTTGTCATTTGGCCACCTGCTCACTTGCGTCATTCAGGAACAGCTTTCCATTCTGACTCACTTTCTCTCCACCTCGTTTCTGTCATCACTCCTGTGGCTAAGTCATCCATGTAGGTGATTTGTCTAGCACTCTGGCCAGTTTCCTGGCCTCCACACTTCCAGCAATCAGTTTCTTCACTGATGGCCTCTCACCTGACATTTCATGTTCCTGTGACCCAAACTTTGACTTTTTCTGGTGCTCCTACTTTAAAGCTCTTTTGATCCCATACCTTTTTCAGTGGGTAGTGAGAACTGCTCATTTCACTTCGGTCCTTACCTGGTTTAGATTTTATGCTCGTTCTTTACGAACATCTTTAATTGCCTGGCCTTCCGCTCCATTGTACAACCCAGCTGGTTGAACCCCACAACACCCTGACACGTGCTGTCTGCCTTCCCTGTTGCCTGCTGCTTGCTGTTACACACAGACTCGAGTGTGAATTCAGAACTGCCCAGCAGTCTCTGACATTCTCCTCTAAGTGCCCTTTCTCACTCTCCAAGATGACTATCTAATACTCTTTCTACCCCTCCCTCCAGCTCTCCTATGAAGCCACCAGAGAAGACTTTTTTTGTCTCCCTGCCCCATTTACAGATCTTCACCATCTTTTCTGTCCCAGAAGACCAAGTGTCTGGTTCTGTCGAAGACCACTTTTTGTGCATGCTCTGGAATCAAGGACTTTGTTCCTTTGTTCATTGCACCTCTCTCTCCTGCACTGTTGATCTTTCCATCTCTACTAGATAGTTCCCATAAGTATATAAGCATGCTCTGGAATCATCTGTGTTTAAATAAGCACAAAAGCAAATACAAATCTTTCCTTTGTTCTGTGTCTTTCTGCTGCTGTTTCATTTTTCTGTTCTCTTTTTCTAGCCAGTCTATTTGCTTATATTTGCTTATTTTCTCTCCACTTGGCTTTGAACATTTTAAAAAACTTTTCAAAGTACTGAGATAAAATTCATGTAACAAAATAACATTTTAAAGTGTATAATCCAGTGATATTTAGTACATTCACAATTTTGTGCACCCACTACCTATATCAAGTTTCAATACCTGTTCATCACCTCAAAAGAAAATCCTTCACCCATTAAGCAGTCACTCTTCACCACCCTTCCCCTACCCTGACGACCCCCTGTTTGCTTTCTCTCCATTTGGACTTACTTATTCTGGATATTTTAGACAAATGGAATCATGTAATGTGATCTTTTTTTATCTGGCTTCTTTTACTTAATGTTTTGGACATTCATCCATGTGGCATGTGTCAGTTCTTTATTCCTTTTTATGGCTGGATTGTAAGAATATATTCATTTTGTTGATCCATTTACCTGTTGGTGGACATTTTTGTTATTTCTACCTTTTGGCTATCGTGAATAGTGCTACTCTGACATTCACATACAAGTATTTGAGTAACTTGTCAGTTCTTTTGGGTATAAACCTAGGAGTGGAATTGCTGGGTCATGTGGTAATTCTGTGTTTAACTTTTTGAGGAACCACCAATTATCTGCAGTGGCTGCACCATTTTACATTCTCACCATTAATGTACAAGCTTGAATTTCTCCACTTCTTTGCCAACGGTTCTCGTTTTCTGTGTTTTAGATTATAGCCATCCTAGTGAGTGTGAAGTGGTGTCTCCTTATGGTTTTTATTTTCATTTACCTCTGATGACTAATGATGTTGAGCATCTTTTCGTATGTTTATTGCCATTTGTATACAGCAAGTCCCTGACTTATGAATGAATGAGTTCCGTTCAGGGAGAACGTTCGTAAGTCCGACAAAGTGAGTCTTATACACCTTTGACACAAATATACAATGTAAAGCCAATGGTTGAATGATTCATGTTATAAGAATGAGCGACGTCTACCATCTTTTCACCTTGGTCCAATCTCTCAGTTATTTTCATTTTTGTTTCCATGGTTATTGCTTTGCGCTTCCTAGCAGTCCCCGCCACATCACCACTGCTTTTCCTCTTGCTTCCGGACCTCCTGGGCTCTGATTGAGCACTGTAGTACTGTACACTATCGTACTGTACCGTAAGCACACAGCAGCACAACTGTGACAATGTCCGGCAGACACGTGAGCTACCTTCCATCATTTGTTCACATCTACGAATGTTTGTAATGTGAGGTCTGTTTGTATCTGTGAAAGTTCGCAACTCGAACGTTCTCAAGTCGGGGACTTACTGTATCTTCTTTGGAGAAATGTCTGTTCAGGTTCTTTGCCCAATTTTTAATTGGGTTGTTTGTCTTACCATTTGTTGAGTGTTAAGAGTTCTTTATTACATCCTAGATAGTAAACCCTTATCAGAGATATAATTTGCAAATATTTTCCCTATATAGGTTTTCTTTTCACTTTCTTGATTATGTCCTTTGATTCATAAAAACTTTGATTCATTAAAGTTTTTATATTCTATGAAGTCCAATTTATCTATGTTTTCTTTTGTTGCTCATGCTGTTGGGATCACATATATGAATCCATTGCTAAATCCAAAGTAATGAAGATTTAATTCTGTTTTCTTCTAAGTCCTGCCACCTATTGGCAGCTCAGTGGCAGCTCAGCATGGGCTGGGACTCGAACTGCTGTTGCTCAGAGCTCACACTCTTGAGCGAGCTCTTAACAAACTGAGCCACTTGGTTGCCTCCCTTAGTTTGTTTTTTTTAGGTTTTTTTTTTTTAATTGGGGAATTGGGGGATGGCAACAGCGCTGGGGAATTTGGGGAAGGGGAATAGACAAGTTGCTGTCCTTTTTGTTCTTCAGTCTAGTTGTGGAGGATGTTGCTTCACTGGCCCAAGTTTGCACCATCATTGCGCTCTTCCCAGGCGAGGCAGATCAGTCGCTGACTTCTGGACGGCCGCTCACGGTGGTTTGAGGGCCGCTCACGCTGGCTGCTGGCTACACATGGTAGCCCATGGCAACACACTGCAGCAGGGGCTGCAGCCTATGCCTTCG